ATGATTTGCTCTTTCTCCTTCTTCCCTTTCCCATAGTTTACGGCTCGAAGGTCGGTCGCGTCGTCACGGGACCAGGTAATCCGACACGCGGGGGAGCGCGTCTTGGAATCGCTCGGGCAAGCGAATCGGTCGAAGCGAGTTAAAGCGGGCCCCGGACACCACCCGACCGCTAACGCCCCGCCCCCAAAAAAAAAGAAGAAAAAACAATTGCGCTCGCTGTCGCTGCATCTATCTCCCAATTGGACTGACCTTTCACAATTTAATCTAAACTTCAAGATCCAATTTCGCCAGTTTCTATTCCGGTTCCAGGCTTGAAGAGGACGGAGTCAACACGTGGAAGCCCCGAAAGAGTCCCACCAGCCAACCCAAAGAAAAAACGAGAAATAAAAAGGGGAGAGAAGGACGGGAAACTTCATTCGACTTTCGTTTAACTCGGTCAATGAAATGATCTGGCCCCCAACGGCTAGCCCAACCCAGCCAACGTCCCTCTTGACCTTTCCACCGCTCCTGAACTCTAAACCCCTACAGTAATGCGAGTACTTGGATCTTTTTGGTCATTGATTTTCCATACGACTGGTTTGCTATTGTGCTGCTCAAGGATACTAAAAGTCCGCACCAATATTTTCGGGTCCGTCATCACGAGTTCCCATATAAAGATAGAGGCATTTGTGAGGAAAACCCAGATCTTACGCCTCCAGAAATGCGATGATACCCATAACGCCATTCGTGCAAAACGATATCTGTCGGAGTGTAATTATGACCGGAGAGAATACTATGTCGCGAGATTCGCGACCCTCACGTGAATGACTTGGTCTCTGATTAGATCATCCGTGATCCTTAATTGGGAACGACTCGTCTCCTATCAAATCATCGAAACGAGCAAATCTGATCCGATCTTAGGAAATGGGATGTTACGAAATATTGAGGATGTCCTTTCGCCAGCGTACTCTACCCTAAGGCCACGAGCGGAAGGAAGCTGACAAAGAACGTACCCTAAAATTCAAAATTTCCATTCCCCAAGCTTTCGTTCACCTCAAATTTTCCCCTCATTTTCCAAAGCAAGCCCTAATCTTCTTCTATGCCGATTTCCATGCTCTACCTACTGGAGACGATAGTCGCCACCACGAGGTTTTACCACAAACTCCGATGTATTTATGAGAAGACCAACACGCAGACCAAAAGTCTAGGAGGATAATTGTCTCATTTGTAAAGTCGGATTCGTCACTTTTAAAACGCAAATAGCAAAATTAGTGCATAGGGGTGAATTTGGGAAACACATCGATTCTTTTCTTATCTCCAATTTTTTTTTCAAATCTGGTCGGAAATGGGTAGTTGGAAGGTGCCAAATATGCTTTCTCCTATAAAGATCCAGCTCATCTTTTTCGAATGAATGGCTGCTCCGCCCCCCTCAATCCATAAAGAGAGTTCGATCACTTTAGTGTACCTTTTACAGAAGGTGATAGTCGTGTTAAATGTATTCTGCTGCTTCGATCGATTTGAGCATCCACTACTTGGCCTGGTGCTAAACCTTTGGGCGAAAATCACCGATGCCGTGGTGGTGTGCCACGTAAAGACGGCCAGCGACGATTGAATCACCACGTCAGCGATTTTCGGCCAAGATTGATCGGAAGGACCGCATTGGAAATTTTGCGCGAAAAGTTAGGACTGAATTGGCGAAATGAAAATGTTTAGGACCGAATTGGATCCGCGCAATAAGTTTAGAACAATTTTCTCGAAACGGCATATGCTTGAAGATACGTGTATAAAAACAAACCAAGAATATTCATTTCTCCACATTGATTGTCGGGTGTGCATTGATTAATGTATTGCCAATGAAAACGATCGGGAAACGGAGATGGGCATGAGTCACGAGCACAACAGGACATGAAATCTACGATTTTGGGATTTGACAATTATGAGCTTGAACGCTAACGTTTTGCGTAGAGACTCCAAGGTTTGGTTTGAATGGAGCATTCGATGTCGGCTTTCGTTTCGAATTGCGCTTTCATTAGTAAGGCTGCGAATGATAACCGATCGTGAAGTTTTGAAATTTTTTATTTTTTGATTTTTTTTTTGGCACTTCAAAAATTTAAACTTCGCTCAAAGTGGGTGGACACTGTATTCTAAGCCATTCTACAAGTTTTGAAATTTTTGATTTTTTGGAAAAAATGAACAAATTTCCTATTTTTCCAAATCGACTTTTTTTTATTTTCGAAAAATTTTATGGATTTTCTGAATATTTTTTAGATTTTTAGAATTTTCCAGATTTTCTAATTTTTTTATTCTATTTCTAAAAGAAATGAAGCGATTATCCGCCGCCCGCCGTCCACTCGCCGGTCACATGAGAAGAAGAAATTTTATGCCAGATATCAAACAAATTTACGTTTCTAAATGAATTTTTTAAGTTATCAAACATGTTTTTATTAAACTCCTCCGAAACGAGAAATAGAAAATCATTCCTCCGCAAATGATTTACAAAGAATGGTTATCATTCATTTGCCTAAGATTTCAAGAGGCTTTGGATGTAAATCGTGGGAGTGACATGAACGGCAAAAAAACCTTGAGATGCTGACAAATTTCCTAACGTCCCTATTTTTTATGTTGTGTTGCTCGGAAATTGAAAGGGTAAAAATATAAAAAATCATCGGTGGTCCGGTGCTTCGGAATTAAAAATAGAAAAAAAATAGAAAGAGTGATGCTATTGAGTTGTGCTAAGAGAGTGATGGACTAGAAGGGTCTCGAGAGATATCGGGCTCTAGCAAAACCCGTTGCCCCGTCTTCGCAACCGACCCGACCCCTCACCGGATATGACAGTCTCTCGTCTCGACCACGCATCAAAACTTAATGGAATGGTGTCAATTCGGGACCGTTAGATGATCTGAGGGGATCGATGTCGATGTGACTTCTTCAGGAGAAAGGATCGAGCTCTTACTGACCGCGCCCGTCCATGGGAAGACCAGACCGATAAACGGGCTTGGACGGGTCGGGTCTCGTATCGGGCCTGAAGTCCTTATCAATCCCCTCTAAATTTGGAAAAAAAATTAAATTCTTATATATCGAATTTCAACAAGATGGGCCAATTAAAGCATGCGTGCATTAAATATTTGGTTAATGACACGAATGGTTCATGAACTTTGGCTCAATATGTAATGTGATTCATGAACTTTCAATTTAGTCCCTGAACTATACGAAATTTTTTTATGTTGCAATTTCATTAATTGAAGTTTAGGGACAACACTCAACATTTTCATCTATTCTAAGTACTAAATTGAATATGTACCAAAAGCATATGGATTATATTGAACAATTTAAAAATTCATTGATCACATTGCATATTGAGTCGAGGATATTTGGAAATGGCACCCTTAGGCTGCGAATGATAACCATTCTGTTTCAGAAATCAATTTCTGGCCAGAAATTGAATTTTCTATGAACAAATTTCCTATTTTCCCAAATCGACTTTTTTTTATTTTCTAGAAATTTTTATGAATTTTTCTGGAATTTTTCAATTTTTAAGGATTTTTGAATTTTTTTGGCCGGCGGGAGGCGGCCGATGGTGGTGGGAGGTGGCCGATGGTGAGGTGGGCGAGGCCGGCGGTGGTGGCTGGGGAGGCAACTGGTGCAGAGACGTGAGCGCGGCGGCTGGCCAGTGAAGGGTAGCGGCCTGTGCTCGGTGGCGGCCGGCGATGGGCGGCGGGTGAGCGACCGACTAGTAGTGAGGGAAAGTGATGAGAAGAACAAAAAATTTTGTTTCTCATTTGTTCTTAGTAAATAGAGAAGTTAAAAATTTTAACTTCGATTTTCTTTTTCAAATCTATTTCTGAACAAAATTTGTTCCGTAAATAAATTAAAATCGCGTTACTAAACTTTGCCCAAACCTATTTGTCTCCAACGATTGCTCCAAACCTATTAATGGATAGGGTAACAGATTTCTTGTTCCGGTCATTTATCATTTTTTCTTAAATTTTCGTTTTGTACTGAAGTATCTCGAACGACTCCATGCTAATATTTTATTGTTGGCCAAGACTCCCCTATGCTGATTACCAAGCTACGCTTTGATCCTGTCGGCTAAAACTGTATTCCACTTGCTTAACTTCTTTCCCCCCCACCCCACTTTTTCCCAAAATAAAAAAAAATAAAAAATTTGCAATTAGAACCTTTTTTAATAACTCTTTTAATGCTGACTTACCTCGATGCCTTTAGCCAAAAAAGCAAGATCTTAGTGTACACTCGCTCCACTCTTGGCACGTCGAATTGCCGGATCCATCCAACTCAATCCGAGTAGAAAATGTCAAACCCTTCGTTACGAGTAGAGTTAAAGTAAATATCTCGATTTCATAAACAAATTAATAAATATTTGATGAAAATAAATTAATAAATAAAAACGGAGGGCCAAGCGCGAGCAATAATGTAAGAAGGAAAAAGAAAAAAAAAACTAAAATCCTCCTCCTCCTCCTTGTTCCGCCATTTATTTCGATTAGTTTCGGAGTTTTGTTCAAGATATGCGATCCACTTCGACAGGATTTCAGAAATTTTTCAAATTCGAGATTTTTGGTTGATGGCAGCAACCGAAATTCCCTCCTAATTTTTTTTTTCTTTTTCCTGAGGATTTGAAATCCATGACGCGATTGGAATTCCCTCCCAAAAATTTCCCCGAGTCCTCTATTTAATTTTTTTTTTTTCCCCCCGCATCGGGGAGGTAAGTTGCGAGAAATTCCGTTTCTAATGTACAATTGATAAATCCATTTTTTATTCTCATTTTATTTTTTAGACCTCGTTTCACTTGACGGCGACGATCTCGCCTAGCGTGACAAATCCGCGCATTGACAAAAAAAATAATAATAATTAAATTTAATTCTCGTACTATTTTTATTTTTATTTTTAATTTTAATTTTTTTTTTTGCAACCCGAAGTACATTTTTGATTAATTAATGGGATTTGATCGGTTGCTCTCTCTCTCTCTCTCTAAACTGCTGTTGTGTGATGATGTCTCTGCTTCGATTCCTCGGAGTCTCTGCTTCCGAAATTGTACGCGCAAGCGCAGCATAAAGAGAGAGAGAGAGAGAGGGAGGGAGGGAGGGAGCATCATCCGCACGGGGGGCGCATTTTAGCACCCGCTCTCCTCCGCTGCGCCCCTGGTTCGATTTCCGCGGATTCCTTCCCCTCAAATCGCATTGCCGCCCCTCCCCCACCGGCGGATCCTGACCGGCGAGCCGGAGGAATCGGCTCTCCCCTGCGGCGGCCTCCGGCGGAGGAAACCCCTAGCGCTCGCCGTCGGTTGCTGCTGCTGCGGCTGCTGCGGCGGCGGCGGCTCGGTTCGGTCCGGTCCCGTCCGGTCCTTCTCCCCGGCCGAGTGAAGATGCGATGGATCCCGCGGTTCACCGCCCTCTTCTCGTTCGCGATCGCGATCGTCCTCCTCTCCCCTTCCTTCCAGTCCTCCCCTCCCGCTGAGGCCATCCGCTCCTCCTCCTCCCACCCCGGCGACCGCTTCCCGTTCCGGCGGGCCCCCGCCTTCCGCAATGCCGGCGGGTGCCGCCCCCGCCCCGCCAGCGCCGGCGAGATCGGCATCTGCGACCCGAGCCTCGTCCACGTGGCGATCACGCTCGACGGCGAGTACCTCCGCGGCTCGGTGGCGGCCGTGCACTCCATCCTGGAGAACGCGCGGTGCCCGGAGGACATCTTCTTCCACTTCCTCGTCTCCGACACGGGCCTCGAGGCCCTGGTGCGCTTCGCCTTCCCTCAGCTGAAGTTCAAGGTGTATTACTTCGATCCGGAGGTGGTGCGCGACCTGATCTCGACCTCCGTGAGGCAAGCGCTCGAGCAACCGCTCAATTACGCCCGGAATTACTTGGCGGACCTGCTCGAGCCGTGCCTCAGCCGAGTCATCTACCTCGACTCTGACCTCGTCGTGGTGGACGACATTCACAAGCTGTGGTCGACGAGCCTGGGTTCGAGGACGATCGGCGCCCCGGAGTACTGCCACGCCAACTTCACCAAGTACTTCACCGCCAGGTTCTGGTCGGACGACCGATTCTCCGGCACGTTCGCCGGGAGGAGGCCGTGCTACTTCAACACGGGAGTAATGGTGATAGATCTGGCTCGGTGGCGTCGGTTCGAGTACACGAAGCGGATCGAGCGGTGGATGGAGGTCCAGAAGAGCGGCCGGATTTACGAGCTCGGGTCGCTGCCGCCGTTCCTGCTCGTGTTCGCCGGTCACGTGGCGCCGATCGAGCACCGGTGGAACCAGCACGGGCTCGGCGGCGACAACGTGAGGGGGAGCTGCCGCGACCTCCATCCCGGCCCGGTGAGCCTCCTGCACTGGTCCGGCAGCGGCAAGCCGTGGCTCAGGCTGGATTCCAGGCGGCCGTGCCCGCTGGACGCGCTCTGGGCGCGCTTTGATTTGTACGGTCACTCCCGTTGAAGGGCCAGAGTGCGATTCTACAGAGGGCACGAAAATTCAAACTAGTCGCCGGTAAATTTTCCCCTGTTAAGGAATGATTGTTCTTACGTCACTGCTCCGGTTCTTTGATTTCTCATTCTGCGATTTGTAATTTGTTCCCTTCTCTTCATAATTTTATGTTCTGTTCTTCTACGTCCTTTTTCTGTTTTTTTTTTTTCACTGGGCTAGAGTAGGATTTAGCTTTGTATTCGTTTCCCCCTTAATTTTTTCTTCCATTTCTCTCTTGTTTCTAGCTGCTGGACCATTCCATCTGTATTCTACTCTGTAATGCCATTGGAAATAAAACAGATAAACGGACATTGAACATTGAACCATTCGGCTCTTCAATCTTGCACTTGCTTGCCTGCCTTTCGTTGACGATCAACATGGTCATATGTGGGGTGTCCCCAAGCCCCCGTTGCTTTGGTTTGAGTGGGGGGGGGGGGATTGATTCCGACTGCCTTAGCTGAGTGAATTGATGTGAACTGAATTGAATTCGAAGCTACCCCCTTCTACGGAAGTGAAGAGGAGACCACCTCACTTGAGATGTCCAATTTTGCATCTCTCTAGGTACATTAAATTATCGTTGCAGGTGGAGTGTGATTAGTGTCATTAGATGTCAGTTTTGATGGATCGATTCTTGGGAATTTCCTCATCTTTATTGGGGATTTTGTGTCCCCTCCCTCACCTCCTTTTGGGCTCTTCTTTTTTTCCATTTTTCACTTTCGCACACTGACTTAGTGGAGAAGGGATTATTTTAGTTGAACCGTATCATCATCTCTCTTTGTACTTAAATCCGAGTCTTCCTTTTTATCACCTTTACCGATCCTTTTTGGCCTAGACTGTTCCCAGAATGGGAGATACAAAGATGGCTCTCGAGTCTTGAATAGAAATGAAACCCAGAGAGAGAGAGAGAGAGAGAGAGAGAGCTTGTGACCTACGTTCCACAACCCATGTTCCACACTATGCCTTCACTTTTTTTGCCCACATCATGTGCAAGTCCATTTTTTCTTTCTTTTTGCAAGTAGACTTGACCCGCAATTTTGGTAATTTTCGACGATGATGGTGATGCATATGAAAGCGTGTGCGGAAAGTGAAACCTGGCAATCAGTGAACTCTCTCACTAACTGATGAGTGGCAATATACAATTTCATGGAAAACGTGTAGACGACGGAGGAGAAGAAAGGCAGCAGAAGAAGAAGGCAGAACAAATCAAATTAAATGATGGGTACGGTGGTGGGGTGATGAGGTGGGGGGACCCAGATCTCACTGTACTTTGTTCTGCCCCCGGGAGCGCATCCAAAGTTAGTAAGTTGCACTAGTGGTGATCCAAATGATGTTCTTGATGATGGTCAGCGAGCGTCGGGAAGGTGTGGGAGGGGACCGGTTCTTCTTGGCCCCGCGGCAATCACTCCAACACGTGGCCAGTTGCTACGGGCATGATGCGAAGCCTGTTGCGAAGAGGGGATGCGATCGACGACTTTTGGACGACGAGGTCGGTCACCTCTCCATATCTCTCTCCCTGCCTCTTCCGTGTTTGGTTCGCGTTCCCATTTCTTTATTTAGTAACGGGGGTTCCTGGGGCTTCCTAACGCTTTGCTTGGTTTGGCTCCTTCTGCGTGTCCTCTGTCTCTCTCTCTCTCTCTCTCTCTCTCTGTGTATGTTCAGCTGCTTGCTAAGTGTCCTCTGGTTGAGCGAAAACATGATTGGGATGATGATTAGGACCTAGCAACCGACACTGACGCTTATCGCCTACCCTTTTTCCTCGTTTGTTAAACCAAATATAAGAGACAGCCCCGCTGCCGCCATTATTCTAATCGTGCGCTCGTTGCTAATGTTTAATCATGGTAATCATCACAGTACCACGGGAACAAAGAATGGACCAAGAATTCCGGCCATCCCCTTGGCTTGCCCTCACAATTCTGGCTACGGATTTAATCTTTTTTCCCCGGGTTGAGTGAGAGAGGAACCCCGTTTTAAATAGATGGGGCGAAAATCCCTTTTGGGGTCTTTTACATTCGATGGGACGAGAGATTGAACGTATGCAAGGCTTATGATTCATGTCTTCATGTCGGAACCGTACTGTTCCCCATTCTGGTAGGCATCAAACACGGCTCCGTGCTTTCGAATTGCAAGCACGATGAGTTTATTAAATCGATTATAGGGCACAACCCGTATAACACGTTCAAGATATAAATTCTTACATAAACTTGTAGAAATGTGTAGTAATGCGTCTCGATACATCTAAATATGTGGTGCCAGCGCGGAAAATATAGTAACCTGTGAAGTTGAGTGGGTCTAAGCATGTCATAAATGGGCTAAAAAGAGAAATTCCATGACCGATACATTTCCCAATTCCACGTATAAATAAATGGGTCTATACATGACAAGAACCCACTGTCGAGTTCTAGATGCTTGTGTGAACGTGAACATGTGCAGCACATCTAATTCACATCCACCTTGTTTGATCACTAATGAAATTAAATGGTGAAATCAGTAGATTTTAATGTCAAAACATGGAACTTACCTACCCTCCATGAAGCGACTCCGGCGTGATACACAAAGTTCGATAGCAGGCCCAACACACCTGGTCTAACCAAGGCAGAGGGAGAGTAGGTACTTCATTTCACGTGTATGTGAGTCGACCTCGTTGTTCTTGGCCTGGTCGTTCACAAATTCTTCACCCTTTTCTATACTGCAGCGTGTTGCAGCTTTCTTGAGTGCTTTGAGAGGCGTGGAGGGTCCACTAACAGTGAATGCTACAGGACCAGTCCCCGTCGGAAGAGCTTGCATTGGGCATTCCCTACTCTGTAGCATCACCCTCTCTGAATTCTATCATGGTGAATGACGCTAGAGGAAGAGAATTACAAAACATATCAAATAATAACATTATTGATATGATTGCTTGGTCATTCCAAGAAAGATTTCGAAAATTACAAAGAATATTTTCATTTTCTCCAACATCAGAATACAAGACGGAAAAACAGAGTACAAGGAGCCAACATGTAAGTATCTAAGCATTTTACCCTTGTAAAATCCCCCGACTTAGATTCGGCCAACGCATGAACTTTCCTAGTTCCCTGTATGCAACAAACAGTCCAAGATTGTGGTCTCCGATGACATCGTATTATCGTGCTGTGTCGGTGTGCCTTCAACTTGCTCCTTTCGATAGATTCTGTACCTGTTTTCAATTTTTTTACCCCTTTTCTTTGCCAAGAATCTCACTGTTTACTGTCTGCTCGTGTTTCTATGTATACATTATAACGAAAAGTTGTCTTCAAGCACACTTGCTAAGCGCGGCAAGCGCTGTCTCTACTTTCAGCAACCCAATCACGACACAAAAACCCACATGAATCCTCAACAGTTCGAGTCATGTTTAGGCATGTGAACGAAGGAACAAAAGGCTGTCCAAAAAAAACGAAGGAACAAAAGAAGAGGAAAAAGAACAACCAGCGCACGTGTTGTGGTAAAGAATAGTGCATTCAGCAACCTTTACAGCAAGAAAACAGCCAGATATCAGAAGATCTTTCGGGTTGGAACTCGAGGGGGACCATCAGATATTTTTAGGTCCACCCGCTATATATTGTTCTTGTCCTTTGCGTACTCTACAAAAAAAAAAAAAAAAACAGAAAAAATTGCTTGCCCACGTATCCCCCACAAGAACGAAGGGAGAACACATTTCGTGACCTTTTCATGTGGGACATCCTTGTATATGTAGCTAAGAACATTATGTGATTACCCACATGGAGGAAGGAGAGAAGGAAAAACGGAAAAAGAGCAAAAAGTCCAAGAGGAAGTGGCATGAACATGTGGTACATGGGATTGGATAGCTTCTTTGGGACCTTGTTGGAGTCCTTCGTAGTCATGCAGACGATAGAGAGTTCTCTTTCTGAAGAACAAAAAAACTCGGTCTTCACCGGGGAAACTTGATCTCGCTTTTGTTATTGCAGTGTTCAAAGGTTGTAGGCTAGTTTCGTGCACGGCGTCTCGCATTTAGACCCTCAAATGAGCAACCAACGTCATCCTTTGATTATGGAAAAGCCAGAGGACGCTCATTTACATGATTACACGCCTGAAGGACATGATGGTCAGGCCGGGTGCCGGTAGTTCACGAGGATAGGGTATGTTCATGTTTGCTTCTCTTTAGAACAAATGAAACAGAACAGTATGGTAACAATGCAGAGAGGAAGTTTGAAGTTCCTCAATGAATTGTGACCGAAATACGAATGGAATAGTCAAGATAACTATAGCATTAGCCGCTAGATTCAGTGCCCTTCGGCAACTCCTAAGAGAATGGTTGAACATTTGTTTTACCTATTCAATTCTTCTCTTTGCCAGAGCAAATCGGCCTCGAATTCTCTCATGTATTGTGCCAAATTTGACAACTCCTTAGACGAACCGTGCTCTTTGTATGAGGCTTAGGTAGACTTTCAATCGATCCGATGAAGACTTCCCAAGTCTCGGGCAACATTCTTAATAATAATTGTGAACCGAAACAATTGCCTACGCCCTTTTCACTGGCGGCCCTGTGGCGTGCACACGAAGCCGATAACATCTAGAGAAGCTCGCGAAACGCGCCAAATGTCAGCAGCAACGGAAGCCTCGGCTCGTTCCAAGCCTGCCCAGACCTGCTCATCGATCACCCTTAGTAATCTAATCGGCACACAATTACACAAAACACAGGGCACGAGTTTCGCCCTTGTCCCGAGTTTGACGTCCAAGGGGGGAGGAATCCAAAGGGCCCATCACGAGTTGGGCCGGGACCAATCGGGCTCGGAACCCCAATCTCCTCTCGGCCCAGAAATGTCCCCGTGGGCCCACCGGCAACCAATCGGGCCCATCGAACCCCGGGGCCCCCACCTCCGCCGTCAAACCCCCTCCCGGCGGGTCAAAGACGTGTAAAGCTTAACCACCCTCCTGGAAAGCGGAAGCCCCGACCCCAAAAGACGCAAATGCCCCGGGTCCGATCCCGAAATTCCCGGGGGCTCCTCTCGCCGTCGCAACTTGTCCACCGAAAGCTCTTTCCTTTTCCCCGAGAGCCCGAAAAGAAAGTAAATTTCCGAAATATCAGAAAATCACGGAGGAAAAACGCACGGGCCTCCACGTGTCGATGTTACCTATTTTTGAGAGATTTAAAATATATTTCCTTAACTGCGGAAGTCGCAGTCATCAGTCAGCACTCAGCACCACCCGGCACCCGGGTCTTTGTTTATGACGCGATAATAAAATTAATAATAATTACAGCAGATTCCTTTTTTTTTTCATTTTTCGTGCTTTCTCTTTTTTTATTTTATTTTTTATTTATTTTAATCTCGAGGGGAGGAAGGAGCGAGAGGGAGGAGGGGGTCCTTGTTCGTTAAGAAGCGATGACACAGTGCTTCTGAGGGGGAGCTCGCGGCTTCTTCAGTGGCGCACACGATCGCTGCACCACCTCCCTCGCCATCTTCTTCTCCTTCTCCTCCTCCTTCTTCTTCTTCGTTCGTTCGTTCGTTCGTCGATGGACTTGGACATGTGGCGCTTCGACCTGTCGGCGTCCTCCAGGAGCCACCGATCTGCTCGCAAGTCTCGATACGGTAAAGAAGAACCGACCTCTCTCTCTCTCTCTCTCTCTCTCTCTCTCTCTCTCTCTCTCTCTCTCCCTCTTCGATCTTCGTTTTGGTTCGGTTCTCGTTGGTCGGCGGCGGCGGGAATTCTCTGAGGTGTTTTTTGTTCTTGTTCTTGATCTGGTTGGGTGGAATCAGATGCGGCGATCGTCGTCGACGAGTTCGACGGGGAGGGGGATTTGGAGGTGTACTACCCGTGCCCTTATTGCTCCGACGATTACGATTTGCTCGAGCTGTGCCTGCACATAGAGGAGGAGCATCCCGTGGAAGCCGATTTCGAGGTACGAGCTCGGTTTGAAGTTTTTTTTTTTTTTGGGGGGGGGGGGGGGGCTCTTTTCCGGTTCATCTCCGTCTCGGTGTTAGCTACCTCTTTCTTCGGCGGAGTCGATTTCTGATTGTGTGCGCATGCGCGTGTCGTCGTGCGTGGGAGGCGCGGTCAAGGCGAGATTTTTGGTCTAGGTCGTTGGTTAGGGTCTTTCTCGGGGTTCTTTGACGTTGCCTTGAAATTGTTGCGATCTGCTTTAAAGGTCTCGTTTTTAGTTTTCTTGGGGGGGGGGGGGGGGGGAAGAGAGAAGAGAATTGTGTCTCGTAAAGCTAGAATTTCATTTCGCTTCGAGGACGACTAGCAGAGAGCTGCTGCTGCTACAGAGCTCGTATCGAGTTCCGACTTACGGATGTCAAAGAAGGCGAAGAAGAACTGATCCTGGAGGACAGATGCGCACGATTCATTCTAGTGGTGACGTCAAACCTAAATCTTGGCTATGATATTAGGGGCAGAAACTTCGTGATTTTGCTTGTGAAATTTCTTGTTTCGAGTAAGCCATGATCGGTACAAACTAAAGAGTTGTATGCCGAGCCGATTTGGCAACCAACACAGTAAATGCAGATCCTTTCGAGTTCTGTGATGCCCATTGAAGGTCCTTACTCCAATCACCAATAGGTCTCTCTAGGCTGTATGAACAGATTGAATACAATCCTCCATACACCCCTTGAGATAGAACAAGCAAATAAAAAACAATTCATCTGTCTCGATCAATGTGATCCTTCAGGTTTGACGTGGTTACTTCTGTGTAGTAGAGAGGCATGACACTATTTGATGAGTCTCGGGCTGGTATTTTAACTTAGCTTGTTGTCCTTTGTTTGTTGTTTCTGATTCTTTCGATGTCTTCGTTCTTATTAGATTCACCTTACATGCCGCTTTCGCTCATGTTTTCTTTTGAGCATGTTTTTCCAATAGTCCCCGAGGGTTAGTTGCAAGCTCTTCTGGTGTATTCTTTTTCATTGATGATCATTTTTGAATTACCTCGTCACTCTTGTCAAGGTTTCTTATACAATATGCTGCTATGCATGTTGCTTCATTTGATTTGTTGAGTAATGTGGTAGATCAACTTTAGAAATCTTAGTGGAAGCTCTTACAATATTAGTCAGACAACAGATATGTAGTCGTAGAACAATACCTGCTTGGTTTCCCCCATTGATGCAACTGTATCATGACATATGATGACTATTGCTCTTGAGACATTATCAGAGACATTATAATGGTAGCAATGTATAGCATATAATAACTATTGCTCTTGAGACATGATCAGAGACATTATAATGGTAGCAATGTATAGATTAGCATGTGGGTTGTCATTGTGTTGTATCATCTGCAATGGTAGAGGAGGACCGTAGAAGTTCTTCAATGACTTTTTTTCCCCCCTGTACCTATATGACTTTGTATGTTGCCTTTTTTTGTTTTTTTTTTTTGGATTTTAACATGTGTTGTTATAAGATGGCAGTAGGATTCATTTTTGTGTGTTAGTTGACCTAGCTGTTGATATACATACGGCTTCTTTCTTCTACTTTCTATCGAGAATCGGGGGTTTTTTTAGGCTAGTTTTGAGAAGGATATCGTGTTCTTTCTCACTAACCATTGGACTGATACTGTAGTTTATTGTCAGCAACATATTCAAATTTTCCTCCAATTTGGGAGAAGATGCTTGTTATGCTCCATGTTTCGTGTAGCTCAGAGTTTGCAGCTTCTGTTTATGCAGGTATGCCCAGTTTGTGCTGCAAAGGTGGAGGGTGATATTGTTGAACACATAACAACAAAGCATAGCGACATTCTGAAGATATCCTTTTTCTTGTACATTTGTTCACATGCATTTCTTCATACGCAATCTACGTTTCTTTAATTTCTTACGTTGTTTTTGTTTTATTTTCCTTCCTACTACAGTATTTCTTCCTCTTTTGGTTTGTTATGACCATGAGCCGTGAATTCCTTGACTTGAGATTACTGGCAACAGAAATTAAATCTCCGGAAAAACGAGTCCTATTCATCTTTTTCGTCATCTAGAACAGAGTTTGGATCTGTTCAATCTGCAGTGCCTTCCTCCAATGGGCCACCAGATCCATTTTTATCATTTATTTGGAATGCGCCTGCTGCATACGAGTCTGAAAAGGGACAGTCCACTTCGCCATCTGCTTCAGATATTGCAGAGAGAACCCCTGATGAAGCTTTGTCAGAAAGGTATTATACACTCCACTGTTTAGAAAATTTGTGTATGCTCCATCTGCAATGTTGCTTGAAATCAGTGGTCATCCTACTTTGTTTTTTGTCCAAAAGATTTGCGCAGCCTCGGCTGCTTTCATTTCTTTTTCTGTTTTGGAGATGTAATGAAGTGAAATTTTCATCAAAAAGATGGTTAACTCATCTGACTTTGACAAATGCACTGTATAAACATCGGGGCAACAAACCAGGAATCACTTGCGTGTTGTCTACCTGTAGAACCATATACACTGACTTTCTTGATTTGCTTAAGCTGAAAGTACAGAGCAACCTTAAAGCTGGTTTGATGGAGACTCATCTTAGACGTATACCTTGAAATATTGTAGATCTAAGGTTCAGGCTAAACGATGGCCTTTTACTTTTGGTGTAGAGGACCTACAACATAGAGGACTAATTTGAGAGTTGAGAACCGTAATCCACCATGGGCAATTCCATAATTCTCTCCCTCTCAATAGCAAAGTAAGGTTGATAGTCTGCAAGTGTAGCACTGATTTAGCAGAACCTTTTCTCCCCACCTGAAATCATCCCTATCCTATTCTCATAAAGCTCACCAAGCTAGAGTTACTGATCAGGGAAATTTTTACATCCAAATTTGCTTCCAAGGGAATAAGCAAATGCTCCTTCCTTGGTTCCCTGTCCGAAGAATCAAAGTAGTACCCAAAAGTGAGTGTGTTGTCTTGTTAGATGATCATTAAGATCAATGTCTCTGCTGCAGTAGATTAAAGGTGCTAGAGGAACTTTGAAAAGGTCTGCAGCACTCTCTTGAAAAGATTGTCAGAGCTGTGAAAGTTCGGTCTCCAGGGTCCAGGCTTAAATGTAACAATTGATACCTGCGTCAAAGTGGTGCACGCATGCCCACCCATGCATGCTCACAGTGGCCAATATATTGCCTCAAATATGGCACAACACTCTTCCATGAACATTGACACCACTCCAATGTCATTTTATTACCTGAGTGTCTGAGGAATTATTGATCAACGCCTTCTGTGAATATGAGTAGGTTTGGAAATTCTGATGTATAAAGAAGCATTGAAAAGTTCATTAGCACATGAAAATGATCATTACCATGGATGCTTTGACACTCTCGCAGAGAAAACACTTGCTGAAAGCGGTTGATGATGGAAACTTTGGTTTTTCACTAACAGAAATATAGAGAAGGGGAGGGAGGGAGAGAGGTAGGGGCAATGAGCATGGCTGTAGAGTGATAGATGTTGGATAGGAATCCAGAAGACATGAGGTCAAGTATGAAATTTCCTGCCCTGGTTTTTGAGGGAATAGACACTTGCTCGTATCATATTCATGCCTGGAAGAGAATGATAGCTGGGGAAGCATGGTGTAGGTGCTCTTACCATAGCGATGGTTAGATATGATCAATGCTAACATTCACACACACTGTACACATAAGCACCAGCATGAAGCAGTCAGGAACTTCATTTGTTGGAAGTCTATTGTCAACGAAGAGATACAGGTTGTACGTATAAAAGTGAATATATTGTCATGAATGTGTGTGCATCCATTTTCAGCTGGTTTTAATGGACTTTCAACACATATTCCAAAGGCGATTTACGAGATGGCCTGCATATTGGAATGAACAGCATGTTGGCTCCATATTCTTCCTATGCTGTCTGGGTAGTTCAGTTAGCTCTATACTGAAAACGTCTTCTATCTGTGTTCTGTTTGCAGGGATATGCATCAATCCCCTATGCTGGAGAAAGACAAAATCGAGAAAGCAGGGAGATGCGAATTTTTACAGGGTTTGGTAATGTCCAGCATACTTGATTTCGACTCATGAGGGGGTGCTGGGAGCGCTGATCAGAAGCTAACGAAGTCTTGTTTCTATCGGACGAGCTTTTGCCCCTCAAAATGGAAGAGGTTAGCTTAGAAGTTCACTCCTGACGAATTGGAGGAGATTAGTAGTTTATGAAAAGAAGCTCCTGTGTAACTGTGTTCTTCATGATGCTAGGCCTTTGTAGATAATGGAGACACCTGGTTTCTAATTTAGCAACTCTTTTGCAGTCTTCCAGAACAATATACCCAACCATTGCTTTATCAGTTTTTGTTTCTCCTTATTTCACTTTCCAAGTAATACTGGATTATGTATGTACCCTATGGCCGAGGGAACTTATTCAGGTCTCTAGTGTAATACGTATATATAGGCCACTTCTAAAACCATGGTTCGATTTGCCAAAAAACACTTAAGATAGTGAAGATTTTGTTTGTTTTTTGGCCCCTATGAAACCTGTTTCACAGGGCTAGCTTCTTGACCATGTTCTGCATTTCAAAGACAGACAGTTCACCATCAACCGTTATTTCACCTGAAATGTGATTTCAGGGCTCTAGAAGTACCCAAGTTATTGTGAGGGGCATGAGTATTATCAACTCTCCATCACCAAGTAATCGCAATGTCAAGACAAGCATGTGCGACCGCAGTCTACCCTGATCCACTGTTTTATTGTATACCCCTCTTTCGGACAACAAGGCCTCTCATCAAGGCAATGGAACAAAGAAAGATGCAAAATAAGGAGACACGAAGAATTTGCCTAAATCAATCCGACAAAGAATACACGATAGGATCAATGAAGGATGCAAAATTTCGACCAAAAAAACGGATGCAAAATACGAATGTTGGAAGAATTTTCCTAAAACTACAAGAAACTAATGTGACTGTGGCCGAAGCTTCCTCAGTAGCCATTTTTTCCTAAGTTTAACATCCAGCGCCATGAATGTTTTAGATTTCATTTCATCCTCTAGGAAATCACAAGCATCCAGTATCAGGTCATCATCCATGTCCGGTAAGGCCTGAACTGCTTCAATTACCTGCTCAATTTGTACGGAGTTCGAGTTCTCATCATTTTTCCTTTTATCGGACAAACAAGCAGCTGCAGTCACCATTTCCGGCGGAATACTCACGGTACCCCCACTAGTCTTCTTGAGGCACTTTATATGCGTTCCTATGTTTAATTGGTCTTCATATTGGCTCTTTCCGGAAATGGTCATTTTTGAACCCCTTTTCGCTAGGTCTGGTGAATTGTCATCTTGATCCACACCAGAAATCGATGCAGAAGGGGAGTGAGAAGTCTTGGATGCCCGTCGATCTTTGACTGCTGCGACTTCGTTTGGCTGCTCCACATTTTGACCTAAGAGAAATTCTCTCTCATTGATACTTGGATCACGGCATATTATGCACAGATCGTTGTAGTATGGTACAGGTCGAGTCATGAATTGCCGCGCATCAGTGTGTGCCTGCATGCCACCACATTATTGAAACATTATATACCTAAATGGAAGTGCAAGGAAGACATCAGAAGCAGGGCAGGCAAGGAAAGGATAGAACCCAGTCAACCAAAAATATGACGGTTGATATTGAACGATTGACATCCATTCTTTCAAAAGATTAAAATGAAAATATAATTCCACAGTATATAAGGTATCGGACAGCTAGATCCTAAAAGTAGTTAAACAGGTGGTATTATGCTTAGCGATGCCAAAGCACCTCAACATCAAGACAGCGCTTGAAACCAGAAATTTATAAATTTAAGTGTCTGTCAAGCATTCAATATTCAGAACTAGAATCAGCAATATAGTAAACTATGCATACAAGCGAACAAATCGAAGAGAATGACAGGACGGCACTATCATGTAATTACTTAAGAGGCTGACATTAGGTGGATGTTTACCTTAATGTAGTCTTGCCAAATGTAATCATCAGCAGTCACCATTTGACGGGAATCATCCCAGGAGAAACCCTCCGTATCAAGTAGATTTTTTATCACGTTGAATTGGCGCCTGAGAGTCTTGTATCGATTTTTCAGGATTTCCACTTCATAACTAAACCCAAATTTGGCATTAAATGATGCAATCATCTCCATCCATGCATGTTTCAAGTAAAGACCATCAACCTGGTTCCCTTTCTGCACTTGTTCTAACATGAGGTCGATAAAAAAACGGTCCATAGTTGGCTGCCAGTAAGTCCTTGAACGACTACCAACACTGGAGCCAACGACATTTGGCTCGTCCTGTGAAGAAGAAATCTCTGCTACTCCTTCAGGAACAGAAATTCTAAAGTCCTCATCAATTGTGATATCAGGGAGAGGATCTGCCCCTTCTTCACCAATACTATCAGGGAGCATTACTGTACCATTGTTAGCTGAGTGTGATGATGACTCTGGTACGCTGTTGCCTGGTTCTTTACATCGATAAACAACTATAAGTCCAAGCCTAATGAGAAGCAAATGCCCTCATGCTGTACTATGAGAAAATCTTTTGGAGAGGTGGGATTGTCAAAGTACCTTTTCGTTCAAGGGATGAGTTTCCATATATTCGACAGAGATCTCTGTAGTATGGAATGCTTTTAATTCTGTGTGAGCGTGCATCTGGGTGTACCTGCAAGGCTGCAAAAGATCAGTGCAAATCTTGAAAGATAAGAACTAACCGGATTAATGAAGTTTCATAGTTGCACCTTGATATAGTCGTCCCAAACTTTGTTATCAGCTATGACCATCTTTCGGGTTTCGTCCCAACTAAAACCCCTCTGGTCAAGAAGATTTTTGATTGCCCTGTACAGATTTCTAAGTGATTTATGGCGATTTTTAAGGACATCTTTCTCGTACTGAAACTTGAATTTTGCATTGAACAGCAGCATCATATGTTTCCACGCTCGTTTGCTGAACAAGTTATCATCAATTTTGTTCCCTTGGCTGACCTGCTCCAGCATAAGGTCAATGAAGTACCGATCCATTTCAGGAGTCCAATTTGTCCTCAGACGTTCAGCGTTACTTCGAGGCCGGATGCCCATGCTAAAGACGTCAGGAAATTTGTGACCTTATTGTGAGTAAACACATTGAGACAATTGAAAGGCACAATCCACCAAAATATGAATTAGTCCTATTTCCTTATCACCATCCTAAACAGTTAAACAGTGAATTACTTTGTATCAGCAAATTGTTAACAAATCAAGCTCAGATATGTAGTTCCCCTTCATGCATGTAAGCAAGACGGCATCGCTATTGTTGAAGTTTCATTAAGTTCTCTTTTATCCAGCATTGAAGAGTTTTCTGTCCCAAGACTCTAACATCTACTCTGGCAAGGACAAGAGTCATCAGTTTACAATCCTGGTACAGCAAGGCACAAGGAGGCATACTGCGACAATGCAAATCTACTTTGTTTCAAACCACAAAGCGATGGTGAAGTCGATGCTAAAAGTTTTTAGTAGCACCAGGATATGACATGCTGTTCAGTATTCATTGTAATGTCGATCTATTATCCTCAATCTTTCGAAAGCACGGTCAGGGGGTTATGAGAGGGAAATAGCCAACTTGGATGGCTCTGCTATTAGTTTCAACTTATCACCTCTAGCGTTTGCACCAATCTAGGTAATTGCCAAAGGCAATAACCAAAAAGCTAAGAATGAGGTCTTTCTCTCATCTCAGCTCACATTTATCTGTTTGAGCAATATTGACAGCTCTATAAACAAGAAAATGTCATCCTTTATATCCAATCCATCTGGAGCGTTAACACGTTTACAAACTTTTCACACTTTTATGCATTGGACTTTTCACACTTCCACAACAGAAGCCATGCTGAAAACGCAGAAGCCATTAAAAAAAGCTTCCCATCTCAACAACAAAACCAACAACCACAAGAAAAGACCAAAGCCCACCAATCAGTTAAAAGAATGCAGCCTCTCCTGAGTAATCGAAACCCACAAGCTAATTTAAAAACACGTGCTTGTCAAAAATTGGCCAACTCCCTTGTTCAGAAGTCACTCTGAAAATTAGCAAAAAGTTTACTTTTTTAATGCAAAAATCTGATCTTTAACACAGCGAGAGACAACCCTTTTGCAAGACGAGCATATTCCAATTTCCAAAAGCCATTTCAGAACAAATAAAAGCGAAAAAAAAAAAAAACACAAACAGAACAGCATCAAGATCACTCCTTTTTCCCACCGATCAACTGTAATTACAAGAAAACGGAACGTCCCACTTGCCCACTTAAAAAATTACCCACAGTACTTGAAAAGACTAATGAATTGAGCACCTCACTGGACCAGTTTTATCTTGAGCAATTAATGAAACCAGTAATGGAGGAGGTACACAGAGAATTACAGTCAGAACAGAAGGAGGGGAGACTATATTCCACGTAAGGATTGGGGGAGGAGGAGGAGGAGTAGTAATTCAGGAGAAGGGATACAGGGCGAGGGTTACCTGGAAGACGATGATGGACAACAAGAACTCGGACGAGCTTGGAGTGCGGGTTATCTTCTTCTTCTCTCGGGAGCAATTCGGGTGGGGGAGGATAAATCTGTTCCTGTTCCTGGATAAGGTCGGCACAGCCTCGAGCCATGGATAAGATCCTGATCTTACCAGAGATGGGCCCGGCCCAAGTTCGGGCCCAACAAGTTGTCCAAAGCCCGGCTATGGCCGGAAGGGAAAGAAGAAGGACTGCTATGAATAAGAAGAAAGAGGGATGGATTCCGATTGGTATTCTCGAGTGTGTCGATTTCTAGCTTGATTTGGACTAAAACATGGATTTCAAAGGGTGCTCTGGACATTTTTCGGAGTTCGATTACCGTGACGAGATCACCTCATTTAGGGACATGACCGTCGAGATGGTGAGGGGTGCCGCTTCCGGGGCAGACGAAGGCGGAGGCACGGGGTAGCCATAAGGCACACCGAGCCGTCGTAAAAAGATAAATCTCTCGTGGTACGGGGGGAAGGCGCGCCGCGAGGAATGAAACAGAGAGGACGTGAGAGGGGCAATTTTGTAGTAGTCTCGATGGGCTCGAATGTTTTGTGACAAGTGAAAGGAGCAGAAAATTGGAAATGGAGCATGTTGGCCCAATTAGGGCCCAAATGTCGGCCCACTAAGAATTCTTCCTTAACCACCCCCCTAGTCTCCTGAGCTCTATTTGGAGTACAAGCACCTGTTGATCGCATTTGTTTTTTCTTGGAATTATACATGATAAAATCAGCATTAGCATTAGCACATGGCTATGCTCCGAAGGCATGATTGCATAGGCCGAGTGCATGCACCCTAGCAAGTCAAGTTGCTCGAAGAGGCTTCGTACTTGGCTTTCGAATTCGAGTTGCGTTCATACGATTTCTCAATTTCTCGAGTATAATGAATTCCTAAAATCCGAGCTCTGGCACGAGCTCGGGTTCAAGTTTTGG